ATGTAATCGCCATCGGTTCAAGTAAGGATATTCATAACCTTACAATAATTGATAACAATGTTTAATGTGACTTCGTTTGTTTTCAATTATTTCTTTTGTATTTGTTTTTCATTTGTAATGTTCCTGGGTCCGTTTATTACTGTCACTTCCGTGACATTTTCGGTGGAGCGCTCGCGATCATCCTTGGCGGGAATTAACAGGGTAATTTCTGGAAACGTATAATCCGTTATAAGATAACCGTGTCTTCAAGTTCGACGAGTATACTCGTCATATGAAAAAAAAATAAATAAAATACCTGTTGATATAAAAATTGAAAAATATATTTCTTTTATTAGAATAAAGGAGTCAAATTAACTACGCACGCGGATACACATGTTCAAAAGAAAATTCCACCAATCAAGGACCAAAAGGATGATTGATTCAAAGAACAAAACAATTCGAATAATTAAATCGTTTTATTTTACAGAAATTCACTGATAAATCTACTACGCAATTTCGTTCAAATAATCTAAGGTCGTGTGGACTGGAATTCGAGCACATGTGCACTCACCAATTCCTTGACCTTCGCCTGTATTTTCCTCGCTCGAGTAAATTATCACATTAAACAAGGGATTAGGTTTTTTCTCTACTCGAAGGACTGACAGTGTGATTTGGTAATTAATTTTAGCCGATTGGTCCCGATACCTTCCGAATTCTCCCGATTTCTTAACCCACAAGGTTACGAAGCTTTGTATTCGTGTCTGGTCTTCAGTTACGTTTCGCTTCGTCTCTGGTTCACCTCGTCTCATTAAATATTTTCTAAGATAAATGTATATATCGCATCGGGTGGTGTTGCCTAGTGAGAGTGAAAATGTGAAAAATATCTAAGAAAAGTGCAGGAAGAATAAAATCAGCCGAAGTCCCTGGTTTCAAGACACTGAAGAATGAATCCACCGATAATCTTGGAAACATCCGTGCGCAGTATTTCATGAATGGGGAACGAAATGCAACAGGTAGAGGGACCAGTTTTCCAGGGACGAAACTGGGTCACCCCTTTCCCGTCGCGAGACGACAATAACGTGGCACAGGTGCAAAGATTTCGTTTCTTTTTTTCGTATTTCTATACGAGGATATTTTAAAGGAAGAATGTCCCAAGGCTACAATACCGTGTCGATATAAATAATCATCGATTCTAACGTTTTTTACACTTCGAATGCACAGATCCTGAAAGTTCTTTGACGTGCACAAGTGATTTAAAACTCGCAAAAATCTCCTAAAGTATGGACTGTGTCAGAAGAAAAATACATTTAGAATCGTTTTTTTGTAATTTAATGTTCGTACATTCAGGTAGAATAGTTCAGATTGAAGGGACAAAACAGAAATTAAAGTAACGTAAGAGCAGTTTAACGTGAGAATGTTTTCAGAAATCAGGGTTCAAGTGAAATTTGGGACTGGGGTTTTTCGTCCCCTCTCAGTTCACTCGAAGTATTAAACAATAGTGTTACATTCAAAAATTAAGTGCCGAGGGGCCCTCAAACACTAATCGGGGATTTACTGTATACAAATAACCCTGAAAAACGTCTTTTATGTCACGAAAAACACAGGTGCCACCCACGCGTCTAACGTCTTCTCTATTCATGGTTTCGTCCTCTCAATAAAAAGCCCCGGAAGTCGTTCGTTACCTCTATTTCCCAGAAAGAAAGATTTTTCGGACACGTCGCGGTGCTAAAATTGAACGCGAGGAATGTAACGATGAATTTTCTCGGGCGTCACCGCGGGGGAAAAAACGTACGGGCACCGTGTATTAAAATAACGGTCGCGCATTTGTTGCATAACTCGGGGTCGCAATGAGGTCCGTTCGAATTCAAAACGGTGACACTTGGCCCATTGTATTGTCGACTGGAGGGACGCGTAGGCTGGTCCGTTATTGCCGTTGGTGCAACCAACGACGAGGGGGACGATTCGTCGCGGAGAAACGAGCTGAAAATGGTGGAACAAAATTTTTCCTCGCGAATATCCATCATTTTATTTTCCAAATTGAGCATCTTATTGAAACTTTTTGTTACGCATACCGTTTGAAAGAAGTCCCTGTGAAAATTATTATACAATATTTTGAGTGTATAGAGAAAGTGGCTGTGTTTAAAAATATATATCTAGCACGTATAGATCGTATGAGATGATAGCCTCTAATATCAGAGTGGAGTTCAATTTTATTCTGATGATACATAGTGAAAAGCAGCAGTGTCAAAAACAGAATTTAGACTTTATACTTCGGATGTGCAATACGAATGATGATTGATTTACACTGAAAGATTGTTTTCATCTGGACTTCATCCAAAATGGTCAGTGAACAAAGTAGAGGCAGTCTACTTTCGACGAATTGAATGGATTGCGAATGAATGACCGTAAGAAAATCATCCTGGCATTGAAAAAATCAATGAGATTAAATAATTGTTTGCCAAGTGTATGCTCGTCCCAGAAGAAATACATTTTATCTTATTATAAAAATTAGAATTCCCTCGTTTGGACAATTAAAAACGAGTACTTTTTTTTTACATAATGAATTTGTCCATCTCTGTCCAATACATCCACCGTTTTATTAACCTTACTAACGTGATAGTGTTTCATAAAAAGTCATTTGGAAAAGTTTGTTCTCTATTTAATGGACATTCAAACGAGAAAATGTTTGCAATCCGATAATGTTACCGAGGTTAATCGAAAGTTATGGAACATAACATAATAAGGATGAATAAATAACACCTTGCAAGGTCGACGAAACTAATGACTCCTTCACGATCCATAATAAGCCCGTGAACTTTAAAACAATTTAAACGCTTTCCGACCTACGTGATGACGTTTCTTTGCGAACGCCGCCCCTGGACTTTTATTCACGACGTCTCCTATGTCGGCCGACCCACGTAGCTCTGCGCGGCGCATAGAACTAGAACAATATAGTATACCTTATCTTGAAAAATGTTTGGTTTCCAGGAGTCGCCGGAACCATTGTTGTACGCTTTGTGCACCCTGGAGCCAGACTGACATCCTTGAAAGTACATAATCCGGTGTTAAGCCGATGAACTGGCCGAGGGGGGTGTCATCCTGGACATCCTGCGGAATCGCAGGACATCCGAACCGTGATCAATGGATCGTGTTCACGCTCGTGAATTCACGATTTTCTTTGCCGTGAAAACTCCGCCTCAGATTTACTCATGGATAATCAGATATTTCGAAAATTCTCTCTACTCTGTACTACCCAGGTTTATGCATAGTACAGGGACGTTACTTTATTCTATATAGAATATACATATAATACATAATATAAAATATATAACATATAACTACATAAATATTCGCAGCCTAATTATAATTATAAGAACACTTCTCTGTCCCTTATTATGTATCATTCATTTGATACTTCACTTTGCTATTTATATATAAGTCATTTGCATATAATTAATTGTAGAAATTTTATCTATAGTGTCTAGAAAGTTTCATTTGAGTCTTTGCGGTGAAATTGACGAGGACAGACGTACGTACGTCAGGAAAATGTTAATATCGACATTTAATAACATAATTACAGATGAGAATAAAATTGTTATAAATGTATGCCAAAAGGAGGAAAGGAAGGAATTTATTTTAATATCAATATCATTTTACCCACGGTATAATTAAATAGTAATTATGAGGGTGATTTTACACGAGAAAATAAGTCGAAAATGTAGAATAAAATTTTGGCATCCAGGGCTTAGTTTTCGAGAAAATCGAATTTGAAGATTCATCTGTAACGCGTATATTCATGGTAGTAAGTAGATACGGAATGCAGTGAACAGACGCGTTAGTCAAGGCTCATTCAATTGCACGCATATCCAGTACATTTTCAGAGTCAATTTTCTTGAGAACGAAGTCTGAAATGGAACAATTTTATTCCATATTTTCGACTTATTTTCCATGTAGTATCACCCCCTCCCCGGTTGTACCATCAATACTGGGACACCCTGTATAGATGAAAACGTTTCTAGAAGGAATTCATTGCAAGTAATAATTTCAATGTAATAAAACTTATAGAAGGACGAGGGTTGTAGAATAAAGATTAGATCAAGAGTCCGTGCAAAAGGAAACTGTATTTGCGTTTTTAGTAATTTTAGACTCCACAATAGGCGCATCTGTCCAAGGAAAATACCATCAAGACGAAAAGTAAAAAATTTGTTTATATCAAAATATTCACGTGCATGAAGACTTTACGAATAAACTACTATTTACACGGAATGTTGGTATTTTACTGACAGTAATAAATGTAAAATGCATTATTTTGTTTCAGGTTTCTGTCAACTTAATTCCATGTAACGAACGAAATGAGTTCGTCCAAAGGGGCATAGCTGTTTCTAAACTTTCTTCTCCGAACAGTACAAATAAAGGGTACGAGAAAAGTGATAAAAGTTAAATTTTTCAAAACCTGTTAAATTTCCCTGAAAGTTTATCCTAAGTATTCAAGAATATTAGATTTGTACTTGCGACATTGAATGTAACATTTTGTTCCTCTGAAGTCAGAATACAATTAATTAATGGAGCTTTTATTATTTTTCTTCATATACCCTCTGAGAGTACCTCACAATTAGAATTTACAAATAAAATTGTTATAGTACATCAAATAATAAACAGCCTCATGATTTTACAATGAAAACAGAAACACTGTACCCACATCTACGTTTGTTCTTTTTTTTTTTTACATCAACATTTTGTAGGAAGGTAATTGTTCTATTTTATACATTAGAAATACTCCATTGTTGCAGCGTTCCGTGGAATCCTCTTCTCTCGATATCCGTGAGAATGTGTTTAAGTAAAGCTACCTAAGTTCCTTTTTATAGACACCCATTTCAAATAGTATTATAAACACGTCACTCGTGTTATCCAAACAGCATGTCCTGCCGTTATTATTTCACTAGCACGTAACCACTTACAAAATAGTATCTGTAAATTGTTTTAAATTCAGTCTTTATAAATCTTCTTAAATATCTATTTCTTGCTTCCCATCTTTCATTTCCCCCTCTATTTTAAGTTTCGCATGGAATACAAAAAGTTTACACAAATATAAACAACAATTCCAGTTATTTTCCGTATCTTTGATTGCATTTACTATACTTCTCCAGCAGATACGCGAATTCCTTAGCCGAGAGGCTAACGTGTAGAGGTAATGTACTGGAAATAGAGAAGGAATACTGTTTAATGACTGCAGTTATTGACAATTAAGCTTATAAGGACAGGATGTTTCCTAACATGCAAGATCCACGTCAATAGAGATCTGGGAACACGAAAATAGACAAATTCGTATATACCTTAATCGATACTTTAACGACTGACTATAAGTGGTACTATTAAAGTATTTATATATATTTCTCGATATCCGCATCGTTCAAAATAATTCTTAAAATATTTCAGAAACTATGACAGGGCTACAAGTTGGTATTCAGGCCGGAGGTGGCCATTCTGACCAATTCGTGTACCTTAGGAACAAGGTCAACTATGTTTGTATGAACTTTTTTTCACTAACTTTTGGCCTCTATTCTTCTTGAAGTGAGTCCCACATGTTACGAGACACCCTGTATAAGTGAATGAGCTTAGTAGGTTCCATTAAGTTCTACTCATTTAAACCTACAAAAATTCTGTTACACGTGTTTGCCATGGCAAAACACCATATGTAGAGCAAACTTGGCCATAAATTAATCCTAAATCAGGGTCAGGTATTCTCCGCGAGTTTAATTTCTCATCAAGTAGATCTATATTTATTTCTTCAGATTTAACTGTCCCTGTAACAACTGCTTCAGCCAACTTCTTCGTTAATGTAACTATTTCTTCTTTCCCATCTGAAGCACATAATAACGATACTCGTGTCTTTACTTTAGAACCTGCAAGTTGAAAACAATGATCAATGATCGTAACATGTGATTTTTTGGCAGACTGTCCTACAAGAAACATACCGCTTACTCCATTCTGTGTGTATGCTGTATTCGGTTTACTCCAATTGATATGCTCCAATAAATCAGGCCTTCTCTTTGCAATTTCATGTTTCAGGAAACTCTCATTTCTGACTAAGAAGCCTGTAACAGATACAAAGGTTTATGTAACACATAAATTGACTGATAATTATTTAGATAAGTTAGACTACAATTTAAATAGCTATTTTTATCATTAATCTGAATACAGATAGACAGTTTATAGAATATCACCATGTTACTGTGATAAAGAAATTCAAAATAACGTACTATAGTTGAACATGAATGATAACACTCAACATATGTGTGTATTCTATTTATCTTTGACTCTATGTATTAAAACAGTTATATAACATTACATCATGAAATTTTAGATACAAAGAACCATAGTAATAATTCAAAATAAAATACTACTAATTTATTTTGAATAATTCAATAATATTGAATTAATCATGAGTTCACATGTACTACAAACAACAGATAAACACTTCCAAGGATATGAATATGTACCGAAGAAGGTATATGACTCATTACATTAAATATGTAACACAAGATAATTTGAAACACTAGTTTCGTGAAAGCCATAAGTATGAACAATTTTAAAGACAAAGTTATGTCATAAAACAATACAAATTACATTGATTTCTTATACAGATAGACCCATAGAATATCTCGAATATCCAATGAGTGCTCTCAAATTATTCATTTGGAGTTCCTTAAAACTATGTTGTAACCCAGTAACTTTTGAGCCTCTAGTAGAACGTACGTAATCTGTTTATGCACAAACAGCTCCATAATGTAATGACTGACAAAGTAGATGCGTTACGTTGAAAAAACCAACTTGCATACGCACATTAACAACAGTTAATACGCGAAATCAACTTAGAAGGACAGAAATTATTTCAAACAAAAATTCAGTATTGTTGAACGTCTTAAAACAGAGGAATTTAAACAAATGAAGTTTACCACTGATATCATAGAAGCTGATGTAAGGTATACCGAGGGTGATGCACCAGCCGACTATCCGAACGCACTCTAATATAGTGTCCTCCTTCGCGCCGAAAACGATCACTATGTGTCTTGGCAGTTTTTTCGTTCGGCTCGCGGCGCGCACCAACCATTCGACTTCTGTCCTCGAGTTCTCACCGTACCAAATCTCAATGCACTTACGGTGAAGCAACATACAGCAGTTATGAACCGCGGTAAATAAGTCGTAGAAAAAATGCGTAAGTATCAGTAACGTGCGAAATACCGTGAACATAATGCCTTCCCGCGATCGACGTCGACCTATGTAACATAATCACACGAAACTGACAAAATAGACGGGACTTTTCAAAACCGCCCGGGGAACGTCACGAGGAGACTCCTGCACCTAGCTGGCCCGTCTAGCAGACGGTCCCCTCACGTGCACCTGGGTTACGATGGGTTACGTAGAACACGCACTCTTTCGTTGAATAGAAACACTAAACTCCGCGTTTTGACGGTAAAAGTCGTCAAAGTAGGTAGATATCAAACCCACTCCGATGAACCAAAAAGAACCAAGAATGGCGAAGTGAAAATAAGAGCTGTTTTACAGACTTGGGACACAGAATCACAGACGGAGCAAGTCTACCTAGTCTCTGTGGTGATGTGGCGGTTTACTGTGTCCCACTATTCGATGATATACAGGGTGTCTCTCCTACTTTGAGCATCTGAAATACTTTCGTTATTTTTTATGATACGAAAAAGTATCGTTCAATAACACTTGCTGTATAGCATTTCTTAATGACTTGTTTAAACAAGCGATCAAAAAGTGCTGTCGCGTCATCTAAGGTTAAGGAAACGGAACTAATTGGCTAGTAGCTTGTGCGTTTAGCTGTAGATCGCGCACTAGATATTTTCAATCACATTTTTCAATACAAATTTTAAATAAAAGTATTTTATCTATTTCAGGTCACCATAATATTGCTCCTCAAGTTATATAGGCTTTTATATAGTCTTATCTAAACAAAAGTAATTGCACCACTTATGCGACTTAATGGGAATAGTACGTTCGATTTATCAGCTACTTTATGTAATAAGAGAGTATATTTATCGAAGTGATAAATAACGACCATGGAATATAGATATCAGGGAATAAGTGAACGAGGCGTTACAATGTTCAATGTTATTGTTATAACTAAAAACCATAATAATTCGTATTTTACACAAGGTTTATAAGAACTTATATATATATATATATATATATACTTAATACCTTTTATGAGAATTTTGTATAAATATGTTTGATTTAAGTATTTATATTTTATTTAAATGTTATTGGCTTGGTGAAATTATCGTTCAATTTATACCATTTTATAGACTTCCAGTTCTATTAAATGAATGAATAAGGTGGTCCAATTTTATTCACGAAAAACGCGGAACGCACATGCGCAGCATTACACTCGGTATACACATGGTATACACAGATATCAAAGGTATACATGAAACGTGTTTGGCCATTCGAATAAAATGCCGCTAGCTTGTACGTAGTAATACTATTCGTATAAACAGTTCAGTGTCTTGACTGAATCTGACGCTTCGTACGATTGGTAGTACAAATAATGAAAATTACTGTGTAATTGTACGGAAATTAGAATTCATTTATCTGATAGATTGGAACTTTTATAGGTTAGGCACGTGGCGTACACTGTATATTTACGATCCGGTATCGTGTATTTTCAGAGTAACAGGAAGGTCTATTTTATGTTCTCAGTGATTACAAAATAAAAAAATGTCATTCCGTGGTCGTGGAGGTGGAGGATTTGGCAGGGGTGGTGGCGGCGGTGGATTTCGGGGTGGAAGAGGGGGTGGTGGCTTCCGCGGAGGACGTGGAGGTGGATTCGATAGGGGTGGAAGAGGGTAAGTATTCGATTTTATGTTTAAATATTTAATTAATTATGTTTACATAATATAAGTAAAGATTAGTCCATATATTACAGATATGATCAAGGTCCTCCAGAGGAAGTAACTCCATTAGGTCATTTTACGTGGACAGTTCAAGACGATGTTGTTGCTAAAGTAGACATTGAACAAGTGCCCTTCTTCAATGCTCCAATATACACAGAAAACAAACAACAGATTGGTAAAATAGATGAAATATTTGGTAATATTAGAGATTATTATGTGTCCATAAAGTTATCAGAAAATATAAGGGCATCTAGTTTCCAAAAAGACACACAGGTACGTTAGATACATATAGTTTCCTTGTATAAACTCTTGGTGGAAGAGATACTATGACCACAAAATAACAGAAAGATGGGAGTGTGAAGGGTCTGTGCCTCACTTAGCCTTATACAAACCATTATTATCTTCTTGAAGGACTAAAACAGAATAGAATATATAGTCCTGTATCTTGTGACATCAATAGTGTCTAGATTCTGTATTATAACCACCTTTTATCACTTCCACTAAGGGTATACATTGAATCTTTTATCAATGCCTTGCTAATAATTGCGTTTTATTTTAGTTGTTCATAGATCCAGCAAAACTGTTACCTTTGCAAAGGTTTTTGCCAAGAGCTCCTGGAGAAAAAAGAGGTAGTGGTGGTCGTGGAATGAAGAGAGGTGGTCCTGGAGGAGGACGCGGTGGTAGAGGCGGAGGTAGACCGTCATTCGGACGCGGTGGCTTTGGAAATAGGGGAGGAGGCGGCGGCGGCGGCGGTGGTTTCAGAGGCCGGGGAGGAGGAGGTTTCGGACGCAACGACTCTGGTAGAGGTCGTGGAAGGGGAAAATGGTAGAAAAGTAAAGACTTCTACAATCAATTTTTATGTAAAGACATGTTACAAAAATAAGAATACGTTGATTTCACTGAAGAAACAGAAATGCGAATAGTTTTATATCAAATTGAAAAGAATGTTACTGAAACAATACTTGATTTATGTTCAACATTTTGTTAAATAATATGTATGATTTATACTTTTGCAACTGATTTACTATATAAAAACACAAGTTTTATATACAGATATTAAAGAAATTTGACGCGAGAACAATATCATTTCTACACTTCATCAAATTTTATATGTTTCCCAAGTTCTTTCTCTGCCTTTTTTAACAGCTTATTTCTTCCTCTCTGTTTAGGTCGAATCTTTTTACCCAATTTTTCTTCTCTATCATGTGAAATTTTTTCCCAATATAATTTTTCTTCTTCACCTGTAAAGAAAGAGTTAAATGAATTTAATGCACTATATTCAGCAATTAATATATGATGAATCTTTACCCTCTAGGATTGTCATATGTCTTTCTTCATTAGACTTTTGGATAAATGTCTGCGCCGCTTCTGCTGTGTCGCACCTCACAAAAGCAAGGAAAGAACTCTCCGCAACATCTATATACTTCAAAGAACTATTGCCCTTTAATTCCATCTGAAATAGCATGAAAATACAGTAAGAATATCTATCGATTACTCTCACTAATTATTGATTACAACACACCTTAAACGCTTTTGGATCTGTGCACGGTTTGTCCATTTCGATCTTAACTATAACTCCTGGCGTAAATGAAAAACGACACGAACTTGCGTCTTCCTGTTTACCCATTTTCTCCTTCTCATTAGTGTCCTCCTTCTCTAGTTTATTTTTCTCATAATTAGACCACTGGTTCCATCTCGGTTTTCGAAGATGTTGCTTTAATTGCTTCATCTTACTTCTCTGTAATTCTAAGTATTTATTTCTAAGATGCTTCCAGTTTTTCTTAGCCATTACTTGCAATCCCATACTGAAAGTAATATCCTCCACTTTACTGCGCCTCTTGCGTTTCCGTTTCTTTTTCTTCTCATCTGTATCCTCTTGTTGGTCGGTGGTACTATCTTCGAATATCATTCGATCGCTTTCGTCGCCATTATCCATTATTTCTTCTTTGTTAGTGGATACGCATTTTTTATCTTCATTCGACTTTTTTGGCGTGCCATTCGTAGAAATATTGTTTTGTATCTTATTATTTTGCTTTAGTTCGTCGCTATGTGAATTAGTAGACATTCTTCTATGTTTTGTCACTTTGTGATCTATTTCATTTTCTGTTTCAACTGCTTCTGATGATTCTGTGTCCTGGAGTTTCCTCTTTTTTATTTCTATTGCGCCTTCCTTCTCTTGAAGCTTTGATGTGTTATTTATCGTTACGTCTTCTTCGTTATTTTCAAAACTGTCTGATTCCCCGTCATTCGCGGTATTTTCTATAGATTGCTTATTCTCATTCAATTTCAATGGCCTTCCCTTCAGTGTCACATCTTTCTCAGTGTCACTGAAAGTTGTAATACTTAACAGTTCGTCGGGAGCAGTGTGTGAAGGTAGAACACAGCCTTTTTTTTCAAAAGCCTAGGAAAAATAATATAATCGGTGATGGTGTAAAGACAATGAAGCTGTTAATATTTATTCCTGAATTGTTAGACTTTTTTTACCTGAAGACACTTGTTAGCACTTTCTGGTGTATCGAACTCCACAAACGCAAATCCCTTTATCTTTTTGGTTTGCTTATAACGTGGGACTGAAACATAGTCAACTACACCATACTGGGAGAACATTGTACTTAACATTTCATGGTCAGCATCTGGTGGTAAATTTTGTACATAAACAGTACACTCATCAGTATTCTCTTTTAGCACTATTGGTGTTATACGACGAACCTTGGTTCCATCCTCAGACAAAGATAACATTGTTGATGTTTGCAATGCTTTGTTTATTCTACTTATATCAGTAGTTAGTTCTTTTATTCTATTAAACGCAATGAAAATACTGAGATCAATATCTGGAAGATGTCAAATGAATATTAAATGTAAAGTTTTAGTAGACTATATAATATAGTATGTATCATTTAAATGTACACATACAATTACTTTATTTAGTATTTGCTAAGGACTTTTCTTCAAGGACTTCTGTCTTTGATATTCAAAAGAATATCTGATAAATCAGTGGTAACAAGTACAGTGTATAAAAAAGATAAAATTGCAACAATGCATCAAGTTCTTAATATAAAGTAAAATATTCACTGAAACAAATGTTTTGTACTCTCAAAAGTTGGAGATATAATTGGCTGTATACATTTAAACCTGACACACACAATGTATTTTTATGACTCTTACATGGATCATTTTTAACTAATCCATTTAAAAATCGATCCTTGCTTAGATTTGCATCGCTAAAATAAAATTCTATTTGTTTCCGTATTGCTGCATTCAATGCTTTCTTTCTAAGCCTAGGTTTCCCCCGTGAAATACTTGTGACTTTGTTTATTCTATCTATGTGTGAATTTTCCACTGGTTTCTGCACTTGAGGAACAGGGACTCTCTCAGAATCCAGTTCCATATCTGATTGCTGCTCTTCCATCACCATTGTTACTTATAAATCAATACAACTGATATTCAAGAAATAATTGCTTCAACTCTCCAAACACCTGCAAATTCGTGTTGAACTATAAAGTTAACAGAACATGCCGAATTCATATTCAATATGTATCTTAATATTGGAGCAATAACAATTGTTCCTGCATTTAGTTATACTGTTTTATTAAAAATCGAATGTTTTACTTACACGATCCAAAAAGTAGATCTTTTCCGCACTTTTTCGGTTGAGAACTTCGCAAACATAACTATAAAGCATGGATCATGTAAGTTAAAGATACATAGATTGGATGAGGTAATGTTTATATGAGATCACTTTAAGATACTCGAGAAAGGCATGGGGAATTTCGCTCTTCATTAAAAAGATCATTAATGAAACCAGTAACATTTTAATCATGGACCTGATTTGAATAAATGATTATTCACGAAAAAGAGTATGACCCGATTTTGTGTGTTTCTTCTGCTTGGGCAAAACTTTATGAAGCATACATAATCTGATAATAAAATGAAGAAAGTACAAAATTGGTTTTCATTTTTGCTTTGAATTAGAATCAATTTTGCCTTTAATAGTTTTATATTTACATATGCGTTATTTGCTCACTTTACTAGCTCATGGTGCTCCTGGCGAACTCACAGTGTGACAGTGCTTTATGTTTTCATCGGATTCCTATCTTAAATTTGTTAAGTTTATGTGACTGCATTGAAGCCATTGAAGTGAGTCCTCAAAAATCTCAAATCATTCATTGTATCGTATGTTCAGTTGGGGTTAAGTCAACGAAAACCTATGTCAAATAATGGATGAAATGAGTGTGATTCTACCTGACAAGGTATATACACTTCTGTTCATATTCTTTTCTCATAATTTCAAAAAAGAAATTAAAACTGTATCTAAATTAGTACCATTTGTCGTAACGTCGATTCGTTGCTAATCAATTTTCGCGTCCTTCTGCTTACTGTATTTCTATACTTTATTTATTGATCAAATTCGAAATTTATAATAAATTTGTAGGATGTGAGCGAGATGGATTGTAAGCCTGTGATTGGACACTATACTGGTGCTGGAGATGAATTAGACGTTGAAGATCTTTACACGAAATATAAGGTAAAGAGCATTAGGATTTGCTTCTATAGTAGTGGCATAATGTATTCATCTAATTCACATATGAAAATTTCTTCTGTTGTGTATGTGTGAGTTCACATTATAGTTTATGTTGAATACATTATGGGTTCATTGGCTGCAAAGGATTGTTCTTTATTAATTTTGCTTAATGTTCATGAAAATGTATTGAATTTCATAGAAACTGCAAAGAATGTTAGAATTCCTTGAGGTCCAAGAGGAATACATTAAGGATGAACAGCGTAATTTAAAGAAAGAATACTTGCATGCCCAAGAGGAGGTAAAACGCATACAAAGTGTACCTTTAGTTATTGGACAATTCTTGGAAGCTGTAGACCAGAATACTGGCATAGTAGGTTCTACCACAGGCTCTAATTACTATGTACGTATTCTATCTACAATTGATAGAGAGCTGTTGAAACCTTCAGCCAGTGTAGCTCTCCATAAGCACAGCAATGCTTTAGTAGATGTTCTGCCACCAGAAGCTGATTCAAGTATCTCTATGTTACAAGCAGGTACACAATACATATAATTTGAATTAATAGAAGGCCCAGCAGAATTTTCTCTGCATATTGTTTTATTTCACAGACGAAAAACCTGATATACAATACAGTGACATTGGAGGTATGGATATGCAGAAACAAGAGATCAGGGAGGCTGTAGAACTACCTCTTACTCATTTCGAACTGTACAAACAGATTGGAATTGACCCGCCGAGGGGCGTACTCATGTATGGTCCACCTGGGTGCGGTAAGACTATGCTTGCAAAGGCTGTTGCTAGACACACTACAGGTACAAATTGTTATCACAGTTTCCTTCATCTTCAATACATATATATATATATATATATATATATCTGTATTGGGCAGTTATGTACATTAATTGGTTTAAATAATATTTTTCAGCCGCGTTCATTCGCGTAGTAGGCTCTGAGTTTGTACAGAAGTATTTGGGCGAAGGACCGAGAATGGTCAGAGACGTCTTCCGTTTAGCAAAAGAAAATTCACCTGCTATAATTTTCATCGATGAAATCGATGCTATAGCCACGAAAAGATTCGATGCTCAGACGGGCGCTGATCGTGAAGTGCAGCGTATTCTCTTGGAATTGCTTAATCAAATGGACGGTTTCGATCAAACGACTAATGTTAAAGTTATAATGGCTACAAACAGGTAAATCGTTTAGTTTTATGTATTATAGACTCTTTGTATTGCTTAGTGGTGAATGAAAACTTTCTCTAATCACCCTGTATGTTGTATATTATACAGAAACATTGTGGTAATTTATCATTTTTTTTTCCAGAGCGGATACATTAGATCCTGCTTTACTACGTCCAGGCAGATTGGACCGAAAAATCGAATTTCCTTTGCCCGACCGTCGGCAGAAGCGTTTGATTTTCTCAACGATCACTGCGAAAATGAACTTGAGCGAGGAAGTGGACTTGGAAGATTACGTGGCGCGACCAGATAGGATCTCTGGAGCCGATATAAACGCAATTTGTCAGGAAGCGGGAATGCACGCGGTTCGCGAGAACCGTTATATCGTTCTAGCGAAAGATTTTGAGAAAGGTTATAAAAACAACATTAAAAAAGATGAATCCGAGCACGAGTTCTACAAGTAAAAAAAGAAAGTGTGTTCCCGCACCGCGTAATCATATTTTATGGTTCCATATGTACTTGCAAATTCATGTATTACTATGAATCTAATTATTAATACACGTTTACACAATCCTTTTGTGCGTGTGTGTGGTGTGTGTACATGTATGCACGCGAGCGCATATGCATTTTTGTGGGTATAGTAAGAGGTAATGACCTAGTGTAAGAGTAAACGCGGTAAGGCCACAGAGAAGATTTGAGTCCGACCGTCATTTATAAATTATGGAGTATCGTGGAAATTGAGGTTTTCACGGATTAACGTCGTACAGGTATTACCGTATAGATTTCAAGCGATAGCTGAACAATTAAAATCTCTGATGACTATTAAATCGAAACAAGGAGGATACACGCCAGTAGTAAACTACAACTCGACATGAAAGCGTGTAAATCAGTGTGTAATTTGATCACTGACAAAGCTAATTGTTGGGATAATTTTTACAAAAGGATAAAGCTCACACTTGAAAACCTCAAGTCATAAGAAATATCATAATCATGTTAGCAATGAACTGATACCTCATCCAGTGCTGTGTAAAACATCCCTTTTCTCAATTAGTTTCCCTTTCAGACCAATTCTGTAAATTTCTTTAATGCTACACGAGGTTTACTAATTCACTATATCACACTCAAGTATACGTTTTATGATCATTGGAATTAAATCGTACTTCCGTCTATCTAGAGAACATTATTCATTCTAGGTATTAATAAAGATTAAACTGCGAAGTCAAGAATGCATTTGTAATGTAAAGATTGTCTAAAACTCGGTATAGGAAAAATTTATTAAAGTTAACTAATGCATTTGTTTTAATTGGAACCTGATATCTGCTTAATAAATTAAACGAATCTTAGATTTTAGTTTTTGTAAATTATAGTCTATAAAAATCTATATTTGCATAAACATTTACAGTTTAATGATAATCCATGAATTTATCATTTTTTATGAACTTATATAATCATATTTTTTTACATTGAATAAGCTGAAATTGATTCAACCAAAATTACCCTATATAGTCTAGTTGTTTTAATAGCCAAAACAATAAAAAATTAATCACTGTAGTCTCAGTAGATCGTTCGTCGCGAAATGTTATGAAATAAAAAGTCATGATCATTTTAAAAATTGTCTAATTTATGGTCTCTTGCACGCAGCGGATAAATATCGGTGGATACTGAACGAAAGTGACTTCATTCACGTACTTAGGATACTAAACTTTCATACCGACTATTTTGTGTAAATATAACCCCAAAACGACAAATAGTAAACAACTTCCATTAAATCTTTCTATATAATTAATTTGTAAAGTTATACAATTCCAATATTATAAATACGTATTTTACAATGAATTTGCCACGGTTATTGATTGTGAGCACGGAGAAAGGAAAAGCTCACGAAATCGCTACGAGTAAGTTTAGATTTCACTGTTATGTTTCAACGACAAATAAATTTATTTTTACATTCTATATACGGTGCATTCAGATAATGTTCTTGTTATTTAAAAGAATGTCCAGACAAGCTTGTATTTCTTTTTTTATTTTGTAGATATGGGAGCAGAGCGACTTTCCAACCAAGACTATTTTGAATATTATCTGTGGAATATTGACAACAAATATTACAAAGCACAAGTGTTAATATGTGTTACAGAAAATCCAATTCCAGACATTTCAGTGGAAGGTGTAGAAGCCCTTATTGTACATCATAATCCTCAGACAGTAAGAGTTTTCATTTGTAAAGTAAATATTCAATGAAGCTGATGATTTTCAGCATTAATTTCCTTAGGGAGATGCAGAACAGAATTTAAAGCAATGGTCACCTTTAATCAGTTCTTTAGCAGATGCAGAAGTATTATTATTTTCTTGTAGTTTTATAACAGATGTTCTTATAAGGGACAAAGGTAATATAACTAATATTTCATGAACAATATGAACATTGTTGAATTAGCAAAGGCTAAAGACATATGTCATATGTTTTAGTAATAAAATGGTGCCTGCAAAGAAAGTTTGAATTGATCGAATTAAATAGACCTGACTCTGATGCTTCAGAATCTGATCTAGAACATAATAAATACGGCATTGAGAGGATGGTTGAAGCTTTACATGCTCATATGTGGCCTAACATGATACTCAAAGGTTTTCTTTAACAATTATACCAAAAGTGATTCATGTTTGCATAAGGAATCACCTCCTATCCACTTGCACCATCATGTCAACCGCACCCTGTATAATTAATTTTAATTTCGTAGGGAAACCGTCGAGCGCCGAAGAACAAAACTCCGATCTGAACGAAGTTGAAGAACAATTTGAGAACATTAAACTCACTAAAGATTCCACAGAAAGATTACCAATGGAGAACATGCTAGGTCAGTGGGAAATAAATCTATTAAAATCTGTTTATTCTTGTAGTCTGTATGAATTGTTTCTTTCAGATAGTATTATGGGGGAAGAAAATGCAGATTTCGGTGAATTGTTTAGTCAGTTGATGGCAATGAAGGAACATGCAGCATCTCTGCCTTCAAATCAGAGACGAATAGCTGCAGAACAGTTAGTCACTGCTTTTTGGAAAGCAATGGGTGGTGATCCATCGGAAACGGAATTAGATTAATTTATACGTTAATCATATAATGCACATAGGTACATACAAGAAAAGCATAACTGCTTCGGATAGACCCTGTTTTGATATTCCAGTTTAAAATGAAATTAACGAAAAAACCAATTATCATTGCAATAATAACACCATAATAACGACTATAGAAACTATAAGATTGTAATAAATGTAAGAACAGAACAAAATGATAGTATTTCGTGTGTAAAATATACGCTTAAACTCTCTATGAATATCACTTACACTATAGAGTCTCTACTATATTATACAATCTCTTATTAAACAATTTTACAGACTTTTTTAATACTATTGCATCATCGAAAGAAAATAGAATCTTCAGAATTTTATTAAGAAAAGGTAATTTCTTAGAATATTACGTTGAAGTTATATTTATATTTATTTATACTTTATCAAGGAATATAAGATTTTTTACACAAAGGTACATAATAGTTCAAGCATAAGTATAAGCTGCTGCACTAAATTAATGAACTTAAAATTTGTTTTTCAAAGCCTACATCCTTTTGATATAAATAGCACAATACTTTTTACTTGGTACTAAAATTCCCGAAACAAAACAGAAAACTATATCTTTAGATTATGACAATTTTCGCAGTAATTGTAACGCGTTTGTTTGAACAATAACAAGTGGACGCGACAAATTTATGTATATCTTTGACGTTTAGGTACAAAGAAATAATCCTTCACAAGTGTTAAACGTATATTAATACATTTTTCCATTTGAATGAATGGTTTTCGAAGAAACCACAGTAAGGTTCCGATACTACATAGTTCAGTTCGTCGCTCTCCCCTCCACCCGTTTTCATCCTCATTTTATCTTACCAAAGGCGGAAGTGAGAAACAAAGACCTAGTCACGTGACACGATATGTCTTTGTGTGCGTGCGTTGTATCCAACTCGTTTATCCCTCAACTATTGGTATCCATGCTGCGTCGAATGCAGAAGCGTCTATAGTTGCCGGCCTGCGGTTTGACTAAAATGTCTGACGCTTTTCACGTAGTGGCACCGTTTGACTTGACCGTGCACGGAAACAGAACAGTGGAATCGAAAAGGTCGGTTTTAATCGTGACGCGCTCGACACATCATTATTCTTATCGTGGACAACATGTATTCGTCAGTCACTTAGCGCTTAACAAGGAGTAAGTTATCGATACGAACGACAGCACTATGTGATACTTGGTTTCCTATGATCCTCCTTAATATTCGCAGCTTCATTATATTTCATCGTGTTGTGACAGTTTTACGATATTCCATCAACAATACGTATATTACCCTCGATTGTATAAAGTACACAAACAATCGAGGACTCGACCCCTTTCGTTTTATTCGATATTGTTCTCGACGGAGACGTGCACCGACGGAATCGAATCATTTTACATTTCAATGCTTCACCCGTTCATTGAATCGGTTTCAGAAACACTTTTTTACCTCGATTGTATTGAAATCGGTTTAATCGATGATTGTGCAAGATTGTATCACTGTTGTCGATACTAGCCTGTCTTTCTGTGTACGTCTGAATGTTTGTATTTAGAGTGCAATTACACCTTCTACGAAAGTCAGTTTTCCTTTTTATCCGACGTACTCTATTTACACAGTAGTCCTCGTTTACTAGACGCATTTTTTCCCCGCTTAATTGACGCTGAGTTATCCCCACCAATTTCTGGAACTGCTTCCACGGAGCGAGCGTTCACGTTATCTGTGGCTACAAATCGTAAAACAGCTGTTCGAACCTTTCTCGCTATTTCACTCGCACCCGAATGTTTGTCATTCTCGTCTTGGACACGCTCAAGAAGCGAGCCAACTAGAGAGACGTAACAACCGGCAATTCCTAGAACACCTATTTCCCTCGATAACTGTCGTAACAGGGACCTCAGCCTGCGTCAGTTAAGCGGGGACTACTGTATTTAAGAACGAAAGAACATGTTATTTGTTATATAGGTAGTACAACTACTTTCCACAGTTTCAGTCGAACACTAGTAAATGATACACATTCTTGTTTTGTACAGTTTGACATTTATATTGAGCATGGAAAGTAAATCTTTTGTACATACGTAATAGGTACTTGAAAAAATTGCTATTTGCATGATAAAATAAAAATTTGACAGTGACAGAGACGTAGTTGATTTTGCTGAAGGTAAATCTTTAAATCTAATTCTCTGATACTAGTATTTCTCATTACATTGTGCTTTTTTTGCACAGAAGAACGAAAACAGAAGGGTATTGACACAATGTCACAGTCAGAAGATGTATATGCTCCAGAGGAACCAACACCAGACATTCCCATATCCTTGCTCGATATACAAATGCCAGAAACACCAGAAAGCACAAAAGGTCAAACCAGTGATGGAGATACTCCCAGGTTGGAAAGTCCTAGAATGCTTAAACCTGTGTTAGGGAAAGTACAAGCAAAAAAGAGATTGATGGCATTCGTTAATAAGTTTAATGTCCTGCCGAAGGTTCCAAATAAAACTGCTTTACTTCAGGCACAGTCTGCTAAGGTTTCGAAGACTAAATCAGGTGGTGGGAAATCTTCGCAAAATGATTCAAGCTTAAATACAGACTCAGACTCTGTACAGCAATTCCCTAATCGTAATCCGGGCAGCGGTAAATCAAAGAAGAAAACAGGTATCATCACGTGAATTTAGTTGAATACTTTGCTTTTACTTTGTTAAAACAGTCTCCTTCAATGCATCATAATGTTACTAAGGATGCTGATCAATTGAATATACTATAAATTTTCAAATATGCTTTATTGCGTCGTTTATATAAATTTATCAACAGCTATAAAAAGAGCATGATTCACTTAGAAGCATTGAATAATATGTTGTTTAATAATTCTTTGATATTATTGTACAGAGGAGAAGATATTGGCTATTGAAGAAATCAGGAGGGAGGAGTCAAAAAGTAAAATGTTATTGGCAGAAGCAATGGCTGCAGGTACTGAATAGCGCATTGTGTGATGCATCAATTGATCATAGGTAATAAATATTTTATCTTGCAGCTAGTTTAGAAGAAGAAAACTATGTAAATAGGAATGGACAGAGTTTATTAGAAAATATAAAAAGCACGAGAGAGAGAAATAAACAAGATAATGTATCTCGTAAAAGCGGTTCAAAATCATCGATGGAGAGTAAATATTCCGAAAGGTACAGAAGAAATAGTTTATTTCTATTATAAACATTGTATCATTATTACATACCATACTGTAATTTCGTTGTTTATTAGTTTGCATGAATAATGTATGTGAATCTTTTGTTTTTAGGAGACGATATGGTAGAGAAGACAGAAGGGACAGCATAAGTAGAGAATCAAAGGATTACAATAGCAGCAAGGAAAGATATTATAAGGACAGAGATCAGCGTAGAAAAGAAAAAGATAAGCGAGACGATACCAGCAGGTATGAAGAAAGTCGAGGCAGAAAAGAAGACGAAAGGGATAAGAAGGATAACGAGAAAGATAAATGGGAGGAGGTGAAAGAGAAGAAAGGAACAAGAGAAAAAAGAGAGGGCATTCGGGAAAAGAAGAGCCCCTCTAGAGAGAGAAGTTCCGAAGTCAGGGAGAAAAAAGAAAAAGAAAGAGATAAGGATAAAGGAAAGGAGAGAGATACGACAAATTTTTCTTCGTGGGCGGAGCTGAAGAAATGTGGTATAACGATGGATGATATTATGGACGTTAGAAGACGTGATTATTCAGATCGATTATCAAAGAACAGGTTTGTAAATAATCTGAAGACATCTCATCGTGTCTGTTTCAAAATGTTTACAATGTGAACATCAATTACAGAACACCTGAGGATTACCTACGTTATTTCGATCAAATGTTAATGTTGAACGATTGCCGCCTGAAACGGCATGGTTTCGCCGCTGAGGGACTTGAAGGACCTAAAGAGTATCCTCCTGAATCAGTGAAGGTGACCAAGCGAGGAAGACCTCAACTATTTTATTCGGAGAATCCGCGGGTGTCGCTCTTCCTTAGTCACGAACAAATCCTCCACGTTGTCACTGGTGACCGTCGCGAGAAAATCCGGGAGATATGTGAGGCGGAAATTACACGGTATATCAAAATGTTCTTTGCCCCGTCAATTTTCCTTTACCCATTCAGATCTTAACGATTCTAGAGACACTGCAGAGGAACCGGAGAAGCCAACACAAACCCGAAATTGGTATCCCAAAGCAGGTATATGCAAATCCAGCGAACAGATCTCTTGGGAATTTCCTGTTAACGTGCAGCTGCCCAGATCAAAATGGGATAGCGAGGATGAGGACAGATCATCCAACGATATTGAAAAGCAGGAAGAAGAAGAAGAAGAAGAACAAGAAGAAAAAAGCGAAATGAAATCGGATGATGTAGAACGAGGTACACTATTAACGTTTGTTTTTTTTTTTTGTTTCATTCTATTTGAAGCTCTAATCCTCGTGAAGCGAATGATACGGACGCGACACGGTGAGCGAATGCAGGGTAATTTTGATTCATAGCAAAATTTTGTTGCAGGCAGTTCTGAAGATAGAATTGTACACAAAATTTTCTAGATAGGTATATGTGCATATATTACATTTATTGTATTACAAGAAACAATTATGTAACACAGTTATGATTGATGAATGACTTAAAAACGAAGATATACGTTTTCAGTGTAAAATAATCAAGTAGTAAAATAAACAAGAGCGTAGAAATAATTGAATAATAAAGTAAACAAAACGATAGCGTTTTTATAGCGAAGAAAACAATTACGGCGACCGTCATTGGATCAAAATGATCATGCATCCGCTGCGCAAAGATTGAAAACTCACTTAGTTTACAAAATTTATTCCAGGACAAAAGATATTTTCTCCGCATTCGAGCGTAACAGAGAAAGATATCGACAACGATAAAGAAGCTGTTAACGAATCTTGTGCCACCAAAGAAATTGACAATGACAATCGACAATCAGTGACTCCGTTGCTACAGTCTGCGGGCGATGAGAAATTGGCGTCGGAGTACGAGCAGTTCATGAAAATGGTTTGCACCGATCTACCTACGTCGAAGGAATTTTCACCGAAAACTATCACAACGAAATCTTCGTCGCCAATGAGTTATCATGACTTCATTATAGAGACTAACCTCCCGGAGGACAATAATTTCACGTTTGTAGAGCATAGCGGGTCCGGGAAATCGGACCAGACAGACACGAGTAAAGAAGAGAAGTTGAAAAGCAACGCGAACCGTCAGAACGTTGAAGATGCACCGGAAGAGGTGGAGGACCGAATGTCGTCGTCGAGCAGTGCTCGTATCGAGATGCAGGATCGTAGAAAAGAAAGTGAGACAACGAAGGAGAAGAGCGAGTCTGACGATTCCAGATCGATTCCCAGCGACTGGGAGAACGTTCGGATCAAGGTGGAGCGTTTGAGCGACGAAAATTCGGACACGAGAGAAGTTAGGAAGAAGAAACGACGGAAGAAGGTGACTTCCAGCAGCGAATCGAGCAGCACATCCAGTTCATCGGATTCTGAGGAAGAAACGAAACGGCGAAGACGGAAACGGAAGTCGTCGAACAACGATTCCAGCGCTTCGGACTCTGAGAGTAGCGAGAGTAGTAGCAGTAGCAGCGATTCATCCAGTTCGGACGATAAGCGAAAGAAAAGACGAAAGAAAAAACGTAAGGCCGAGAAGAGGAAGAAGAAAGCGAAACGGGTAGCCAGAACGAGGAAAAAGAGGAGAAGAAAAGTCAGTTCCGACTCCAGTAACAGCGACTCGTCCGACGATCGAAAGAAGAAAAAAGTGACCGGCAAGAAGTCGAAAGAAAAACGGGAACGTAACGAGAAAGTGAATGATAGCGAGGATATATTGAAAGCAATACAAAAATCATCGTTGGAGTCCTCGCCGCAAACGAAGAAGGTTAAGGAAGAGAGGAAGATGGAGTCGAGGAAGAGGTCTGTCGAGAAACATGAAATTTGGAACAAAGAACAGGAACTGGTGCGTAGCGTCATTTCAGAGAGCGGCGTGATTAGTAAAGCTCACAAAGACGACGAGAAACGAGGGAAAACCGACGAGAGATACCTGGAGGAATGGGAAGTGGATTCTGTGATCATGACGCAACAGAAGGCAGAGAGAATATCAAAGAGTGGCAACGAGAAAGTGGAGAACGTAGAGGGGGATCTTCGAAAAGCAGAGAAGGATGAACGGAGCAAAAAGGATGAACGTGGAAAAAAGGATGATCGTTTGAAGGAGAAGCCTTCGAGTATTGGTAAGGAGATCATACACGCGGGTTCGAGCATCGATGAAGATATTGACGGAAAGAAGAAGAAGAAAAAGGATAAAGAGAAGAAAAGTAGCAATGAATTTTTGGCCGATTGGGAGAAATCGGAGAAGCAGAAGAGGGAAAAGTGGGGAGAGACAGAGTTTGATACCCTAAACGTACCATCCCTGACGCAGCTCGAAAGAGAGGTGAGCAAAAGGCAGCTGTTGGCGGACGAATGGGAGGTCGACAGTTTGGAGGCTGTGCCGGAGTTGATGATCAACAAGAAAAAATCTGGACGCGCTGCGAAGAAAGTTGAGAAGGAGGTACGTTATGATAAAAAGACGGATACGTACATATCTATAGAGAAGGAGACACTAAGGGAATCTAAGAAAAGGCAGGACCGATTGTCAGCGATAAGAATTTGGGAAGAGGAACAGGAGGAAGGTGAACGAGAAGCCATGCTGCTTATGGAACAGAAGTGTAAGCGAAAACGAGACGAATGGGATATCGAGGAGGAATCCTTCTTGCGCGAGAAAGGAGAAATGGAAGATAACATTGAAGAAAAGATATCTGTGATCGACAGTATTCACAAAGAAATAAATGCGGCAACTGGTGACATAGATGCGTCCGTGAAACACGATACAGTTGCAGTCAAGAAAAGTAGAAAGAGTCGTTGGGACATTGCCTCGCAAGTGGAGGAGAAGATGGAACTTAAGGCTCCTGTTATGTGGGAAGAGGAGTGCGCTGAATGGACAAAAATAAACAAGTTTGACCGTAAAATCGACAAACCATCGTTGGAGCGTTGTGATTCTATTCTACTAAAAACTAAAATAAAAGATGAAGACGTTTGTGTCGATCAACAGGCAAGAAAATCAACGTCGAAGAGTTCCGATTTTATTGATTTGTTCCCTAGGAAGTCTCAGGATGTGGACTTGTTGGAGACATCGTGGGCCTCTGAAGAACACACGAGAAGCAAGTCCCGGCTAAAAGGCCTGGAGAACAGTTCCCACAGAGACATGTTCTTTGATAAGGGAAACGAGCAAATGTCTTCGTTGGGTTTGAAGGAACCTCACACTGCCGAACAATTGAAAGACATATTTGAGATGGACGTGAATTTGATTAAGAAAAATGTAGAATTATACAGTCCTAGTTCTCCGGCGCTGTCTCAGAAGTCTGAGGTATCGTCCATTTTATTAAATTTCTGCACAAAAATGTACGTATCTTTTAGGATGTATATTCCATTGCGTAATTTTCATGTTTCAGGGTATGGAAGAATTCGAAGACGACAACTCGGTCTTGTTGAATCTGAGGGATGATCTGTCTCAGGATAAGCTGAAGAAGGAGAGTTCAATTAAATCTGACGAAGAATCTATTTCCGTGTCCAACATACCTCTTCAGATCAAGTATCGAGAAGGAAAGTATTCGAAATCCTCCGCGATGAAGGAAGAATTCGAAGATATTTTAAGAATGCAGGCGGAACATCAACCATCTGAAACGATGCTTCTTACGAAAGGGACTGAAGCATCGCTCGACAAGCTAGCGATCAACGAACCGTGTCCTGACACCAATAATTACAAGTCACTGCGAATGGACATATTCGCTGAATACGAGCCCGACGAGTCTCGTGGCAAATTAACCACCAAGAACGCCGAGATGGTGTCATCTGTTGGTACAAAAGGGGAGGAATCGACAGAGGGGAAAGCTGCTCTGAAGCTGATCCCAAAACAGTTGCTTGTCCGTCGCAATAACGAGCGTGTGAAGACTAAACTGGTCTCAGACGATTCCATACAGCACGCAGCAGCTCTTCTAACAATCCAGAAGAAGCTGCGAGAGTCTCACGCGGTACGGCACGACATGAAGAATGTGCCTTGCGATGAATCAGCGAACGAATTCAAAATTCAATGTGACAAGACAAGCAGCGCTGACATATCGGTCGCTAATATTGTTCCCACCGAACAGACCACCGTTACAGACGTTAAAGTGGATTCGAAGGACTTGTCTATAACTGTAAAAACATCGATTACCACGAAATCCGAGTCACCGGGAGCTGTGAAGGTGGACTTTGATCGCGTTGGGGATTACAGATCCGGTGACAAAGGGAACATCAAAACGGAGGAGCTTAAAAAGCCTAGATGTAGCGTCAGAGACATCAGTGACACTGAAGCGCACGTTCGACCGCCTAGTAGAGAAGGAAGAGAACGGAATAGAAGTCCAGGTAAAAGAGAGAATGAGAAACGAGTCAGTGATCGTGGGAAGGAAAAAAGAGATAACAAGTTTGACGACAGAGAGAGAAATGACAGACGGGACAGTAGAAGCTCGAGACAGGACTATACTGAGAAGAGGAGATCCAGCCCATCTAGTAGTCGTAGGAGAAGAAGAAGTATCAGTCCACGAACTTCTTGGGAGAGGGAAAGAAGTCGCAGTGTGAGTCACAGTCATAGTTGGAGCAGGAGTAGAAGCAAGAGCCCGAAAAGGAAAGAGGAATCGTTTTTGAATAGGGAGAAGCGTACTAGTAGAATCGACGAGGAAAGATGTAGATCCAAAATGGATGACAGAAGGGAGAGATCTATGAGAAGTCCTCCTCGGTCTAACACTGCCTCGTATAACAAAGGTACACTTTGCCTGGTGATAAATCGTCCCATTACATAGCACAATAACACTTGATCATTTTATCTTAATTATTTTTAGACCACTATAAGAAGTATGGATCCACCAAAGATCGCGATGATTGTAGCAGGAGAAAGTATGGCTCCATGGAACGGGACCGAGACAAAGAGGGAAGGCCGTATGATCCCATGGAGGTTCTACGAGAAAGGAATGCGGATTCAGATAGACACAGGGAGGGTAGATTCCGAGGGGATGAGCCGGACAGATCCTACTGGCCTTACGAATCGGAAAATCTTTCACGAGAGGGAAATGAATTGTTGGAGCCTTATCCCAATGGTCAGAATTTAGATCTTGACTATGATGAAAAATCTTATTATAGGGACGAGAGTATCGAAAGGGATATAATGGACGGTCCTCTTCGGTCTACATCAAAGTTCACGCAAAGGTGAGTTTAAGCTGCCGTAATACATGCATACTGGTTATACTTTGCACGCAGTATTACTCACAACCAAGAGTGCATCAATTAAACATTGTATCTTTTCAGTAGAAAAGGTAGATCTAATTTAAGAAGAGATAGACAGTGGGAAAAAGACAGAGAATCATTAGATCTAGACAGGCACGGTCATTCTCGAAGACTGGAGAAACCACAGTCATTGAGAAGTCGCTTTTCTCCTCAACCAAGACGTTCTCCATCCAGACTATCTCACGAACGCTTCAGACGTGGGTCTAGATCGCGATCGAGATCATGGTCGAGATCAAGGTCTAGATCTAGATCGAGGACGCGATCGCGTTCTCGATCAACGTCGAGGTCAAGGCCAATGAGATCAAGGTCGAGATCCAGATCTAGGTCGGGATCGCGATCACGAACCAGATCAACCTCGGGATCTAGACTGAGAAGCCCGGATCACGGTTTAAGGATGACGGACCGATTACGGTCCTCCAGGTAAATGTTAACTGACTCTCGATATCGTTGGTTGTTGCTCACGACGGGCAATCAATAAGCAGACTCACTGTCAATCTAGATCACCCTCTATGGGACGAGGTAGAGTCAACGAAAGGAAGGATGAGCACGATAATCGAAAAATAGATAGCTGCGGCGAAGTCGGCAGACGCATCGAAACGATCGTCCAGTCGGTTTCTGGGATGTCTCGAGAATCAGCTGTGTTAGACTCGGAAATGCACATTGGTGACAATATGGACACGGTCGGGGCTGGTTTCCAATATACTAACGAGAACGAAATTGGAAACGAATACTATTATAGCGAAAATAACTTGACTTATCCTCCGTGCATTGACGACTCGGCTACGAGTTCTCCGAAACGATTGTCCCTCGACGATAGGTAACGTTCCATGTTAAATCGTGTTTAAAAGCCTGATCTTTAGACACCCTTCCTTTCCATTGATTCCCATGTCTGCAACGCCGCTAATCCTAATATTGTAGAAGTACAGTACTTTGGTAGTACTCTTTGTAGGGTCTCAGTAGTGTTTATATTTGTTTTATGCATAAATGGTTTATATTGTAGGCTGGAACTCGAACTGGGGATTAAGAAGCAACAGGACACAGCGGGGTTGTCCAGTGATTATGCTGATAACTTCGGTTCGAACGTATGTTATTCACCATCGCCGCAACAACAGCAACAGATACTGTACCGTCAGCAACCTACGGTCTTACAGGTATATAAATTATATTACACTAAAGAGATATCATTTCTGTCATTCAGTTTATTTTCCCATAGATAGAAAGTAAACATCGAATTAAGTGGTTTCTGCAAATCCCTTCCCTAAGCGTTTGGTTAGGTATATGTCTTTCTTTTTGCTAACACGTTCCGTCCCCAATGAACCATCATGATGACTCACGTGGCGTGAACGGAAAGTCTACGTGAAAAGGTTCCAGCACGGAACATGTTAATATCCACGATTAATAATTTCTCTTAACACAATTGATAAATTTCGAATCAGTTTACGTATCTACTGCAATACTGTGTATAAATGTTTATACTCTCGTTAAACCACACAGGTGGGCAACGTGTTACAAGTGGTGCCCGCCGACTTCAACGGAGTCCCGACAGTCCGCCGAGAAGCACCGAGTTCCTCACCAGCTCCGATTGTAAGAGGTTCTAGCCAAGTAGTACGTGTAGGTAATGTTCTCCAAGTAGTACCCACGTCATTAGACTGGAGCGGTGGACCTCCCGCGTCAGTGGAACAACCGACAGGGATGATGTACCCCGCGACAGTCCCACAGCCTTCTCCAGTTCCTTCAACCCCTATATCTGTACCTGTTCCAGTTCCCGTTCCTATGCCAGTGCCTGTACCCTCCATGAGTTCATCGACCCCTGTACCTACCCTATCCCCGGCTCCACTCCCTGTTTCTGTTCCTGTGCCGGTTCCTGTCCCGGTTGCACTTCCAGTGGTGCAGACGGCGTTCCCCAGAACAGAAGTGGCCGCACCAAGTACGTAAATCGAAGACAGTCACAATGTTTTAAGGCCTGTTCGTTTCAAGAAACTGATACTAATCTCATGCTCGTAGAAACAACAATTCAGCCGGTGTACAATTACGAGGCGATTTTAGAGACTCGACGCAAGGAAAGGGAGGAACGGAAACGGTTAAGAGAAATGAAGAGGAAGGAGAAGGAACGAAGACGGATTGAAAGGATCAACCGACGCGCTCTTCGATTGCTCGAGAAGAATAACATGCGTCAGTCTGACAGCGGTCAGCAAACGAGTTCGAGTCTAGACCCCGCAGTCCTGAAGGCTCTTCGAGAAACCGATGAGCAGGGTGAAGTAGAAGAGCAGTCCGCTCTGGCAATTCCTGAAAAGGGGGAAGAGGCCTCGGTTGCACCGCCACCTGCTCCAGCCGAGGAGGAAGACGTAGTTGCTGATGATGACGAAGAAGAAGAAGAAGAGGATGAAGCTGAGGTGGACGATGACGAGGAAGACGAGGAGGAAGCAGAAGACGATGAAGAAGAAGACGAGGAAGATGATGAGAAGTCTTCCTCGAGGATAAGTAACCGACGAAGCGAGGTGGATGAGACTGCTACAGCGACAACCTCCGAGGCGAGCAAAGTCCAAGTTGAAATGGAGGCCAAGGAATGGCTAGAGTTGCCTCCACCACCCTTAAAAGGAATTTTAGTTGCACCAGGTTTCAGGTGCGCTTTCTACCTTTACAGAAAAACTGAAAGTTCATTTCTTTTATATTCTATTATTATACCTTTTCATTTCAGGAGATCTTTGGTTCCCAATGGTAACTTGGACGACATGTCAACTCCTGAGAATGAGAGCGACGACAATACAGACAAGGAAAGCTCGGAAATGGACAGAATCATGGAATTCAATAAGGATGAAACCGGTGACACTAAATCCGGCAAGTTAAGAATTCAAATCAAAGCCAAATCGAAGTCGTCGAAACTTGGCATGAGAAAACAAAGAAGCAAAAAATCGGTTCAATTCGCGGATGGAATCAAACCAGGGGAAGGTACGAGTCCTAGTGGAGGTGAAGGAGACATGCCTTCTCCTCCACCCCCTACAACAGTTATTACTCGGGATGGAATCCGTGAAGTTCGAAGGTCCAGCTCTAGAAAGAGTAGAAAACAGGAGAAGAGGACTCGACCGCCTAAGGCGAAGAAGAAAGTGAAGGTTTGTTTTTATCGCGTATAATGTTCTCGTTACAAAACCTACGGATTAACGAGTATAACGAATTCTTCAGGTGAAAATTATAAAACTGAAGAAGCCACGCGTCACTCCTTTAACGGCGATGATGATGGACGACTCTGACGAATTGGACGACCGTTCTCCACCACCACCGCCACCGGGTTCACCACCGCCACCGCATCTTTGGCCAAGCTATCTTTCTGCTTATAATTCTACCAATCGTCCCAGCGAAGCTCAATCTACGTCGTCCACGGTATCCAACACAGTTCAGGCTCCGCCACCGCCGACACCATTGCCTCTTCTTGTTCCTCCTCCTCCCCTGAATTATACAATACAACCCTGTAGTAAAGCGTAAGGTAGTACTGTCTGCTGTAACTGTAAGAGCTGTTACCTACTGTAATACGTTGGTCCCTCTATTCTGTCTTTATTAATTTGTATCATTACTAAGGTTACATTCCTAGAACTATATATATATATATAGTTTCTACAACAGAGATCCAGTGGTCAGGAATGTTATCTTAGTAAGAATACGAGTTATTGAGAGACATTGAATCCTATGTAAATGCAATACAGCGTGTGACGGAGGATACGATCGTGTAAAGGGTCCCGCGGTTGGACAGCACTGATATTAGGGATTTTGTACAACTCTAAGCTTTCTGGTGCTAACCCTCGATTAGTGCGACGTTAATATATTATAACGTGTGTAGCATGGTGAAGACACTATGACCCTATTATAAAGAATAATACACAGAAACCATACTACAGTTTCATCTATCGAATTCTTTTTAGATATCCATGGATATCTTGCATACGAGAAATGATAAGTTAATATGCGCACTTTAAATTATTGAAATATTAGATACATTTTTAGGTATAGTTTTATAGTCAGGATTGTACTGATAGGAATACACTAGTTAAGGGTTAAGGATCACGATTATAAACGACCATATCACCAGAAGGATTAGATTAAACTTATTAAGGGAACGATACAAAGTCGTTTCCCTGTTAAGAAAAAGGGCGTAAAGACTCTCAATTCTTTGCATTGTTACTATGGCTGTGTTCCTGAAAGTTTTCACAATTGAAAAACGAACTTGTCGGGGGCATGACCCTGGTAATATTAATCATTGAGAGGCTCTGATTTAGTGAGGTGGCCTTGATACGAAGGCGTCGTAAGATGATTATAACCCAACCCGAGACTTAGGGAAAAAATAATGTATTATGGTTAGCGTTATTCTCATGATTCTCGCTTCTTGTAAATAGCTTTGCTTTTCGTGATCGTCATCTTTGAGAGGCGAAGAGTTCGCGCGCGAGAATGTGTTCCATAGCGTCCAAGTCTCGGCGAATTCGCGTTACGTTTCATATATTTTCGATACGAAGAAATTAAGGAAAGAAAAAGAGTGGAGAGAGGCGAGAGAGATCATATAGAATTGAAATTTTAAGCGTGACACGAGTGTAATTTACAACGAGGGATTCGGAACTTTCAGACCGATTGCTAATAACAGCGATAACGTTGTTGAAGATGTAAGGTATTATGAGAGCTGAATCAATCATTGTACATTTTACTTTAGTAGTTTACCACGAATTGTCTTCAGCTTAGACGTAGTTCAGAAATGGGTCTTGATGCAATCTTTCTTCTCCGTTTTTGTTATTTCTTTGTTAAAACCCGCGGAACAATTTGTACATACGCGGAGATAGATTAAACAAAAATTTCACGATAATCGACGAACAAGGGAAAAACATATTGAATCGAGTTAGGCGAAGCCGAAGCTTGATCATCTAGTTCTATGAAACTCTTATTGTTTCTCGATGTACATAATCTCGATCGATCATTGTTCAGAGCATGTTTTTTCTTTCATTTTACTCCCTGGATGCTAATCTGCTTTACTCAAGACGATACATTTCCCGTCTTCGATAAGAAAGACGTTCAACTGCCCGTAAGTATCTGAATTCTCACGACTTTTTGAAAGGTATCGATTTGTATTAAAAATAAACGATAATTCTTTTAATAAGCGACATGTTTTTATTCAGAGGTTTACAACGAGGCCGGTTATCGGTATGTTTCGATATCAATAAATACCAGGATACGTTCAGCAATAATAGATAAGAACTCCGTTTATGCAAAGTGGGTTCGATGTACCAGTCGTGTAAATCTGCATCGACGGTTGACGGTTATAGGGTACGGTCCGACGTATTTTAACACAATCAATTGACAAAATATCTTCGCTACAACGTACAATACTTAATAACCGGTAAAATTCCTGTTTCAAATTGATTTTATTAGTCTCAGCTGGCGTGGTGGTAAGTTTGTTACTTATCAAGTGAAGTGAAAGTCTAAAACAGATCCGAATTTTTCTTTCCATTTAGAGAAAATATTTGTATATAGCGGACAATGTCTGGTGAAGTTTTAACTTTTCAATCGTAAATAAATCAGTTTTTCATTAAACAAGAAAAATGAAGGTGGCTATTGTTGGAGGAGGAGTTGTCGGTTTAACGACGGCTTTGCAATTGCAACGCGAGTTACGTAATGCCGAAGTTTGCGTTTTCGCGTCAGACTTCGATCGGACCGTTAGCCATGTGGCTGCTGGTATATTCAGAGTTGGATCATCCTACTCTGGACCAACTGAACAAATAACAAGGTGCATAGATTTGAATCTAGACATTGGTCGAATGAAATTACCGTTTTGAAGTGATCATAAGTTACTTTTTATAATGGAGATAACAAAGGGCACTCAAAACAATTTCTTGTTTAAAATATCATTTTATATTTCAAATAATTTATGCATGCTGCATGAATTTATTAGTAAATACAATGGAATGTTTAAATACTTGTATTTCATTTATAAAATTGTGTAACTTATTTTAATCAGAATCCCTTTTCAGGGAATGGATAAGAGACTCGTATGAGTATTACGATGATATCCGAAAGTCTCCTGATGCCTCATTTGCAGGAGTAACCAGCATTTCCGGTTACATGTTTGCCAATTCCTCTCCGGAGACCGTCAAGGTTTTCTTCATTTAAAGACATAACGTTTTCAAAAGTATTCGTTTCACGTTGACTTCTACGTTGATTATTTGGATCATTATTATTTACAAAGCTATATTGTTACTGTCTAAATATTGAAGGTTTTGTTCGTATAATTAAATGGCGCCGGCCAACGTGATTTATAAATTAAATACACGCAGCAGAATAATAATTTTGTTGCTTCATTTTGCAACAGAGTCACTGGATAGAGAATTTAGTGCCAATATACAGACAAGCTTCGGAAGAAGAATTTCAGTTGGTTGGGGGTAGCTGGAAATATGGATCATTCTTGACAACCCTCCTCACTAATTGTAAACTGTATCTTCCATGGGCTCGTAGAAAGTAACACGTTACTTTACTGTTACATAACACCAATCTTCAACATAAAAACTAAACGTTTCTTATTCTTGCAGGTTACAAGAAACTGGAACTAAATTAACAATAAAAAAATTAGATTCCCTCACAGAACTTATTCCTGAGTGGAATCTAATTATAAACTGTACAGGTCTGGGTGCAAGATCATTATGCAATGACAGACGCCTTGTTTCCATACGTGGTCAAGTGATCAAAGTATGATCCCTTTCATACATTACTTCTTTCCAGAATGGTCCAATCACATACTTTCGTATTATTATAAATATCTTATTCTGCTCTATATAGCTCATACGCACACAAACTCGTATAAAAAATAATATAAATGAATAAACGATGAACTATTATACTATTAGGCATATCTTTTCTTTGCACGTGTTATAGGGATGTAGCAGTAATAATTTGCAATGTTTTAAAATCTCCTAGGTAAAGGCCCCATGGATGAAAACATTCTTTTATGGAGAACTGGACACTTATATCATACCAGGTTTTAATGGCGTGGTTACGCTTGGCGGTTCAAGAAGCTTTCACTCCGAAAATATGAACCTGTGTCCGTACGAATCAATGGCTATTCGTGACCGATGCGAGAAACTTGTTCCAGCCCTTAAAAAGGCCAGTGTCTTGCGAGAGGAAGTCGGTTTGAGGCCGCACAGGGAGAATAATGTCAGAGTCGAAGCTGAGCACATTATAAATGGACTCTCGAAAGCAATCGTTAGTTAACAGTTTTTCCTAAATACGTTATGAGATTTCATTGCCACTGATAAAATTTTCGTTTCAGGTGATACACAATTATGGCCACAGTGGATATGGAGTTTGCACTGCTCCTGGAACTGCTAAGTATGCTGTACAATTGGCCAAGGAAATGCACAAGTCATCAATTGCAAAATTATAATCTCGAATCGGTGTTTTCCATGGTTTCGACAGCTACATTATCAGAAATTGTATCTGCTACTACAAACGAAGCAGTACTTATTTCTTTAGATTCATCTGGTTTCACGAATTACAACTATAAGTGAGATTGTTTTGTTGAATACGAAATAATAAAAGTATTCGTACTTGGGATATTTTTACAAGAAACCATTGATCGTGAATATATGCGGTTTATTATTAACGAGTTTACACAAGAAAATCGTTAATATGCGCTAATACTGCGTGGTATCATTGATGTTAATTTTCGCTTGTATCTTTTCTCGAACGTAACTAAAGATGATTCCTCTCATTGTCAAACAAATACATGGTATTTCACAGTGTCGCCTCGTTTTTCTTTCATAATATGCTGCTAACGGACGAAGCAGAACTACAAGGGAAATCCCGAAATGCGTTTTGTTATCCCTACGTTCCACAGGAATAACGACTCTATCTCGAACGCGATCACAAGGTGTTATCTTTCCAATTAGACACCGGGTCTGACACGTACAATGCATGTTTAATATACACTGTAACGCGTCGAACAGATGTTTAACAAACTGAAGCACATCCTTGCGAACTATTACGTACAGCTGCTTGCTAAGTGTTCGTTAAACATATTAAATCGTGAATCTCACGGTGACAGAAGACCATCGATTTTCCGTCTACTATCCATTATTTCTTGCCAGGCTTCACGTTCTTTCTAGGTGGCGCACCCCATCTAAGGGCGCTACTGTCTACTGTCAACCGTGGTCTTTTGTATTGACTACTTTTAATGTGTTCCTCGACTAGTTTTGGTGTCACACAGATCACATGCTGTCCCTTCCAGTACTTCACCATGTTCATACTTTGTAGCGTTGAGATGATATCCGTCTGTGAAATACTCGTCATCTGGCTACAAATTGTATGAATAAAAATTATTTACTTTTACTTGTATCTATTGTGCCCTGATTTAAATGGGACACCTTGTATAACACAAGTCATTAAATGAAGCCATGATTTTAAGATGGTACCTTAAATCTTTGATACTGAGGGTGCCTCGGAAGTCTCTGAGGATTTCTAAAAGAATCCAGCTCCAGTAGCTTCTGTACGATAGCTTTCCTAAATCACTCAATGGTTTCTCTGGACTGCCAACTGTCTGCTCTATTCTGCTCAGCTCGTAGCTGAAAGCAATTAGAAGTTTCCCATATCCTTGTCTTTGAAACGGTGGCAAAGTTAAAATGCAAGCGACGTTGTTGCCATCGGGCGACTCTTTCTCCTAAAATTAATTGAATGTAATGAGGTATACAATGAAAATTACGTGTCAACGTCAAAACAGAGAAATAAAAAATACCTTTGAGAAGTAGCCAACCAAATGAGCACCATGCTTATCAACTTCGCACAGAATGTAAAAGAGGAATGGTTCTACATCGAAATAGAGAGTCTTATGATCCAAGAATAATTTTGCCAATAGACACAAGTTTTGACAATATATCTTATGTTCCCTGCCATCAACCTCCCAAATGCTTAATGTACCTTTACGATATATTTCTTTTCCAACTGGTTGTCTGTGAGTGCATTCACTCTAAAATGAAAAAGTATTCATTACGAATTTAATGACTCGTTTCGTTAAAAAATGTTTTCACAAGTTATAAATTTTCATTCTTACCATGTGATACCTGTAAGTCTTTTCTAGACGCATATACTTCAAACAGTACTCACAAATCCACAGTTTAGGCTGTTTGCCATATTCTTCTGGATATGGACTAAAGTACCAAGTATCAATCTCATACTTTCCTGGAAAGGAACTTTTGAAAATAATAAGACCCTTTTCACATATAACGTTTGACTGTAGAAGGAAAATAGATTGATGCTTACCAATTTGAATTTTGTCTATGTATTTGACTTTTGTTATTGCTTCGTGTTCCTTCTCTAAGGCTGCTGTTGTGGGATCCATTTCTGCATATGTCTGTAATTAAGAATAAGACAATGAACTCTGCTATTATAATATTAAAATACAGAAACATTTCTACAATATAGACATAAATACCTTTTGTATATGATTAATTTCATCGTGTCTCCTTTTCTGGTTTCTTGTGATTTTACGATCTGAAGAATCTGCCAATAAGTCAGTACTAGAGGTTCTGTCACCACTCTTCCAGCTTCTGTCGCTCATGTCAAATCTGCTGGACATGATTCTATCCCTTGGCACCCATTCATCCAATCTTCTGTTGTGTCCTTCATAATGTACATAATATTCATAGTGGCTTTCACTTTCATTATATCGTGTTTGTATAATCTCAGCAGGATCTGCATAGAAATGAGAAATATTAAATTTCAAAAGTACTTCATTTAAACATTAACATACTAACGAATAAGTATGTTTTTGGTAGCTATCTTGGAAATTAAAGTTAATGGTGTTTAATTAATGAACTCTGGATTTTATGTATTTATAAGCTTTACAGTTCCATGAAACGCAATGTAATAGAAAAACGTAATCAATATTAAGAAAATTTCTATTTGAAAGTTAGCAAACCTGTTTATTAATTCGGTTTTTCTGAAATAGTCTATAATAGGAATTTAGACTCAACAAGATTTAAACTGCGTATGACATCGGAATGTTTTGAAAACAAGGTTTATCAAAGGAAAGCCGGTAATACAAACAAACGCGAGACTCAAAAATGTGACCAAGTGATTTACAATAACTACACACAATCCAGGGAGTGTTCATGCCAATATGATTTTTAACGACGCGTAGTAATAATATATTTACGCCAAGAATCATCGGATCTGCGAACGAGATAGTGTTCGCCTATATCGAGAGGCAACTCTTCGAGGCTGTCCGCGTCATCGCCAGATCCCTTCCCGCCATTCGTCAACGTGTTCTCACGCTTTTCTTGCTTCACCATCGTTTCTTTTGTTCCTCCGGTACAATTCTCTTTATTTCTCTGCTCTGGCTCGGCCATTTTACGAGAGATAAATCACTAATCGATGAGACGATAGTCACCGCTGTGAAATGCCCGAAAATAGATGAACATTGCACTTGCTGATGCAACGCGACCAATACTGACCAATACAGCCATGAAATTTTCCACGGCGTATATTATATCCTCATTGTTCGTTCACATTACAGATGGACGTCGTCACAACAAAACCACGTGATTCTTTGCTGCATGAGCGCGGCCCTGAGGTATTTGTTGAAAGCTGAAACGGAAAACCAGATCACTTCATAGGTATGAGAACATCATTTTTTACAAATTTTACCTGAATCTATCTATTTATTTAAGAAGAAAATAAATGAATCCGTTAAAAAATAAAGATGTAATACATATGCACCGTCTTTCCATGAAGAACAGTGGACAATGCATAGTTTGGGTAGGGAAGGCTGAAAGACGGAAGGGGGATCGGCTTTCGACTGCCATGAGAGGGACTACTTGTGGTGTCTTCTACAACGAGTATAATTATTAACAGTGGCACAGTTGCACGAGCAACAATCGACCGAGCTCGAGAGTCATATCACAGACGAGATATAACAATAGACCTAATATGCAAGACAATTTATTCTAAATGCATCGTTAATGGACATTTACATTATGAAGCTTTGAAGACGGTACGGAAAATTTGCAAGTTACAGGGGAGGGAATTATTTTCGGCATATAAGTTACAATACTTCATAAGCCTAAATAATATGTAAGCCTACTTTTTCTGAATTTATATAAATATTATTACAAGTATATTGTAAAATCATATAGATAAGTAGGATTTAAGTAAAATAACTATCTTAAGACACTTTTATTGTATCTATACAAATATTATAAATATATTGTAAAATCATCTATGTCTTGCAAATCTTCCGTACCGTCTTCAAAGCTTCATAAAGGTTTCATAAGTTTGTCGCCGAAATTTTGATTACCGGTGGCATACGATAGACGTGTGTAATAATTTGCAGTAGTCCTCTGCCGGATTCAATCTGTTGTTATTACAGGTGGATTACGAGACAATGAACGGTAGTGAAATGGCTTGCGTCAGTACACGTTTGAAACGTGATCCTTTATCGCTGTTGCTCGTACGAGTTTCGAGCTCGGTCTAACGTTGCCCGTGCAACTGTCGAAATCTGACTGACACTTGTGCGTGCTTCCGTGAGCAAATTATATAGTAACCCCAGCAACTATGGCAGTTTCTGCAGATACTACTACGGCCCAAATTTAAAAGACATAGGCAGTAGTTAGTTTCTGTAGTAACCTGTTGAACCAGACAACTATAATTAGTATAGTGTAGTATAACATGCAATTAACTTAACAACGATTAGTCATCAATTAGTTATTATTCAAACAGTAGACAACAAGTTACAATACTTGCATTAAAAGAATTCGATTTAAGGAATCGCAGACATTAATTTTCAGATGGCAGCACAAGTATGATTCACACATATTTAGGATGGGCGTGGGGAATAAGTTTTTTCACGTACTGTATGATCCATTACATTTAATATAATTTTTTTCTATTATTAAAATTGGTTTGTGTGAGTTAATGACAAAATGACAAAAGAGTGGTACTCGTTACTGTTGGCCCTATATTTTTTGTGGCAGGGTAAGTTCAGCGAATTAAACAATTACATACGATTGTTTGTTGTGAATGCAGAACCGTTGTAAACTAAATTGTATTTTGTTAGATACAAACATTCTTAATTTAAGAATATAATTAACTTACTATTATTACATATTCATTATTGACAGATTCTCTTCAGGAATATTAAATTGTACTAGAACGTGTTTAATAATTATATTTCGTTTTCAGTCTCAGACTCTGTTCAAGAATGTCAAATTCCTGCAGTCGTAAGGGGTTCGTGGTTTTCATGGGAAAATGGTAGAAATACTTTAACACATATAAATGCTGAAACAATGACCAACCGTGGTTATTGTGTAAATGTGCTAGAAGAATATCATGTCAATTACACATTTGTATTTCGGAATGAGGAATGTTATCACTGCGTTAAATTGATTGTTAGAACAGTGAATGTGTTAGATAAACACGAAGGTACCAGGTTTATTATATACTCGAAAAAAAATTAGTCACGAAAATATACAAAGTATAATCTCATATTATTTATCTTATTCTTCAGTGAGTTGTGTAAATTTACCGAACGGTGTTGAACCCACAGTGGAGAATGTATGCAAAGGTTTACGACCTAATCAACAGTTAATAACATTATTCTCAGAAAATTATGTACCTGTGAATTGTAGATCGTCCCTTGAAGGTGTTTGGCAATTTGCTTATCAGGCGAGTAGTCATAAAAGTAAAGAAAAATTATGAGGTTTCAAACTAATTTTTCCATTGCAATTACAGAATCGATTCAGGTTTAGGGGAGAGTGTAATCATCCAGATGCACAAATTCGATCGTGTCAAACTGCAGGAACACAATTTTTAATAACTAATCAGAAATTTAATATAACTTATAAACAGTGTTCTGGTATGAAGGAAACTTTTGATGGAGGTAATATTCTTACTTGTTATTTATACTAAATCTTTATACAACTTTTTTTTTATATTATTTTGAAACTGTAAATGTTTCAGTGGTTGAATATAGCTGTCTGGGAGATTGGTTTGTAGATAAAAATCACTTTTTCGCTGTCGCGAATACAAAAGAGTCTAGAAAAGATGAAAAATATAGATGTTTCTTAAAGAATCGGGATGATGACCTTTATATCGGAGTATCTATTACTGCAGAATGTAACACATTAAAAACCGTTGAAAAAAGTCCAGAGCGTTTGAGAGTAACGCCTGTTAAAGCTGAAGTGGTAGAACCAGGATGTAGATTACCAGAAGATATGAGTGGGCAGTGGATAAATACAGCTAATATTGATGCAGATATTTTCATTAACGAAACGCACATAATTGAAACATGGTATCCAGATGAGGGTCGTTATAGACGTACAATTTACGTATGTCGCGAATCGAGAGATACCAGGGTGATGATGGCAAGGTTAACTGTTGACGGATGGTACGTGTGCTAGTATAGACAATCCTTGTACATATTTTGTAGTATAATAATAATTAAGTAAATCACATTTTTAGCCAGAAAGATTATGTTTGCTTCGACTTCGTGCGTCGACATCATAATATCATTAGATATCGACGTGGTATTGCGGTTATTAAAGATGATTTCCATACCGTTTGTTCTTGGGTACAGTTCCCTAACAAAGAGGATTGGAAATACGACTTATTCTTGGGTTAGTATAACAAACAATAGAACTTCAATTGTCCAAATGCAATGTTCCTGAATATTTTGTCATCTGGATCCTAGTTCGGTTGGACTTGGAAAAGTATACTTCTCTTTGTGGTACTTGTAAATAATTCTTATTATTGCTATTTCTTATCACTTCAGCAAAGGATCCTGTACCAGTACGTTGTCCTGTGGCTGGCAAATACATGTTCACTCAAAAAGGAGACGTCTTGTTTGAAACTAGAATTTTAGGCGGCGTTACGTTATCTCCCCGTCCAAATATCTATTGCAAACAAAATATTTCAGATTTGTCTGTATGCGATACCGACCAAAAAGAAATCGCTATCGACGAGACATATTGTTTGTCGGTAGACCATTTGGGAAGACCTGTAGATATTTACAGTAAGTTCCGAACTGTTACAATTCGAGTAGAAAAATTGTATATCCTTTAATTTACTTTTAACGCGCAGGTTTGCCCGATTATAAAATGAAATGTATTGGATTTTGGAAGGAGAATTTAAAGTCATATTTGATAACTTACGACGAGCTGGATCCTTTCAGTAAATATCGTTGTTGGGTCTATCAAAGGGCCGATTTGAATAAAGTCCTTATGTCTCAAGCAATCGGGCCATTCTGTGATCTTAAGCAAGACGTTACGAGTAGTAATTATACCGAAGGTGCTGCGGTCGCATTGGAATTAGAGGCAAGCAAGAAATATTTCTGTGCGCGGTCTGAATGTTATTAATGATTGGACGCATGAATATTAATTAATCATTATTACTTTGCATTTAGGAATATGAAAGAGAACGTGACCAATGTCCAATGTATTTCGATGATGGAAGCAATCCTTGGGTAATAACGGAGAATTACATAAAAATATTCCATTACGGTAATGGAGCTACAAAACTTTTATATTCGTATCCGTCCGTTTTAATGTCTAGCTTAATTTTGTTAATCAGATCTGAATTTTAGTCAATTACTTTACGTCTATTTCGTGTATATATACTTTCTTAGATATGTATATTACAATTTATACAATGCATTCGTGTAACGTATATTACATAATTGCACAAACTTTTTGTACCATACAATGTTGTTACAATGACAAATGTATTAAGAGATATGCCTTTTTTTTATATTTAAATGATTAATACTAAGGTTCTAAATGCTGTTTATGTGGATCACACATATAATCGTAAGACTTCGAATTCCGTCCATGAACAGTTTACAAAGATCTAGCGTTTATAGTTTTTTATAAATATTTGCAACAAGGTACAATTTTTTGTAAGATCAGATGTTAATTTTACTAGTATTTTAATCTATTTAAGTTTACAATATGTACGTATAAATAAAGTGCTAATAAACAAACAAATGCACACCACACATTTACTTCGTCCAACTGACTTTTGGTATGTCAAAGTGTTCTGTCAAACTGTCCAAGTGTCTGTTAAATTCTTCCACCCGTTGCTTGTGTGTCATAGAGGCTTTTTGTTTTATTCTTTCATTTTGCTGAAAATAAGAATGCAGTGGACTATTATAATTTTCTTTGAAAACTGATGGATAATAATAAACAATTGTTTACCATCTTCTCTTGCATTCGTTGAAAAGCTATCTCTGCTTTTGTTCGTTTGATTTCAGTAGTTTTAGGTTTCTCTTCCTCTTCAATTTTTGTTACTTCCACCAATTTCTTCTTCTTACCCTCTTTGTTTTTCTTCCTAGTTTTTAAGAAATGTAACACCGATATTATTTATACTTTTATTATTATTAATATATCTACTGCAGATCATGTAAATGATGCATTACAATACTTTGGTTGAAAAAATGCACACACTGTACGTGCTTCGGAAATAATTGTACATCTCTATTTCCAATTATATTTAGGGCTATTTTGAAAACTTGATATACATTAAACTGTATTTCAACTGTACGGTTTTACTTTAACAATAGTGAAATCTTAGAAATGAAATGAACTACCAACTATTTATTGTTTGAACGACACTTTCGTGGAACTTTGTTTTGAAGTCATCTGTCAAATTACCTCTGTATAACCTAAATGAAGAGTAAAATCTTAGCATTCACGTACTTTTTGCTGACGCCTTGATCACTCTTCAATTTCAAAAGTCCCTTCGCCGCGTGTGCATAAGGGTCCTCGTCATTTGACGGTGGCATGTTAACGTTTTCAACAAGTATTATTTTTCCACTTCTATCGTATTTTCTCCTATTTTCTCCTAACACCTGCTTACACCACTGCGAACTGTGTGGAACTTGGTGGAACTGAGAGTCTACACGATCTTGTTGCGGTCCCCGCTCATGTCACGTAGCGGTGTATGTCATAAGCTTTACAGGCGCGAAGTTTGAATCGAATAACACATGTAATAGGAAAGGAGGGTAAAGGTGAAGTTGACACTGATTTGAAGAAGTGTGAAATCTGTTAGAGGTCCTTTTAATAAATGGATTTCAAGATTATAAAATAATCAATATTCACTTAGAAACGAATGTTTAAACATTTGCCAGTTGCCTTTGCCTCCTATCCTAACGCTCAGAATCATTGCAAATATGTAAATCGCTCGTTATCAATAACCGGGAAGAAACGCATCAACGAATCAGGTTTAATCTTAGAAATTAATAATTATACGATTGGTCAGTAGTAACTAAGGACATTTTGTAATTAAACAAAAATGATATACGAAGGGAAATGAAGAGACATGCCATTCCACCGACGACGTTGTAATAGAAAGGACGTATAAAAATTACGTTATCAATTAAATTTGTTTTCCTTTAAAATTAGTTAAAAATCGTTTATTTAAATAGTTTAAATATAGTTTTCAAAGTTTTAATTTAAATCTTTATTGTTCTTTATTATTATCGTTATAATTTCCTTTTTATTCAAAATTAATCTCGTGGCCGCGGGATTCCGGGAATCGGGTGACGTCACGGCGTGCGAGCGAGAGCGGTAGAGCGAGCCGCGGTATCGGTGCTCTCCGTCGGTGTGACGCGTGCCGAGGAAATTCAGGGGGAAATTCCAGGAATTCTATGGCGGCAGGTGTGCGAGCGAGAAAGTACGGTAGAGCGTGCCGCGGTATCGGTGCTCTCCGTCGGTGTTGACGGGTGCCGAGGAATTTCGGTGGTCTATGGGAGGGAGGTGTGCGAGCGAGAGAGTACGGTAGAGCGTGCCGAGTATCGGTGCTCTCCGTCAATCCAACGCGCTAGTGTGTTGCGTCACCCAGTTTATTGACTTAGTCGTGTACGCCGTGTACCAAGGTCGTACCATCCCGTGCAGGTCTGTGCTTGCTTCCTCACTTT